AGGGGTTGGAGTGAGGGGCAGGGCAACTGAATAGTGATTGCCCTAGAATTTTAAATAAGAAAACAGATTGTATCAGCTGAAATCTCTTTCATGATTCAATCTCCCTGTGGCCCAACCTGCACCAGCACTAGATATTCTTACTGCCTGACCTAAGAACGGACCTCTCTAAGACACAGCCATGACAATGGCCTTCAACCATAATTTTTTACAACCCCATGAATATATAGTATATAAGAAAAAACGATCACAAAGCCAATCTACAAAGGATTATTGTGCTTGCCTGCATGAGTAACCGGAGGGGAGCATAACATTAGGAGCAGACTCTTCTTAGAGAACAGTGGGAAATCTATACAAAGATTTTAAGCAGACCTTTCAATGCAGTCCAATCTGGAACACATAATTACTTCAGGCTGACTGAAGTCAAGAAGTAAATATGTTACTCTACTCCCAGATGTAATTACAAATTACAACCTGTACCTCATCACTGCCATTGACTCAGAGACATTCTTGCTAGGTTTCTTAAAATGATGATTCCTTATTTCTGTAATTTAATGGAATTGGGAGTAAAATGGAACATTGCTATATCCCCAGGCAATTTATGATGGCAGTGACATTGGTTGGAATTTGAGGAAATTTTCTAATTAGATTCAAATATTTCCATAAGCACACACACACAAATTTCTACTCATATTGTTTCCTTTTAAAAACAGACACATAACACTAGTGTACTAAAACTCCTGGATTCCTTTTCAGAATTGTGACCTAGTGTTGGAAACTCATTTTATAAATACAATTTGAATAATTTTTACCTAAATGAATGATACTTGATGGTTCTCAAAAAGAAATTTATCTGCCACTTTCTTGTTCTTTAGGCTAGTTTCAGCTTTTCTTTGTGTATCTGTCATCTTTTCACCTAAAAAATTTGTAATTTTTGAACTTGAAGTTTTAATTCATCCATAAAAGGTTTAAATCAATAGAATTCTAGTAGTGATCCCAGATAATTCCACTGTTTGCACATTTATATTATTTAGAAAATACTTATGTATTCATGTTTTCTTTTAGGTGTTCAAGCTAGTCTTGTATCTATGACAGAGCTTATTCTCCAATACCAGTTACCATTAAAAAAAACAAACCTTCTTCAAGCCAGACATGGTGGTTCATGCCTACAATCCCAGCACTCAGGAGGCTGAGGTTGAAAGATCACTGTAAATCTGAGGCCAGCCTGGGTACAAAGTGAGTTCAAGGACAGCCTGGACTACATAGTGAAACCTTGTCTCAAAGAAAAAAAAAAGCCTTCTTCAAAGACTTCGCTCTAATCAAATGTTTGTTAATTCTTTCAATTAACTCTGTTTTTTGGGCATTCAGTTAGTTTCTGCTTCATCTTAGTTTCCATCTGCTTTCCAGGTATAGAAAGGAAGCACCTTAGACTGTAGTTTCCATAGTCTCCTCTGGAACTCTTCCAATGAATGGAGGCCATTCTGGAAATCTATCAGGAATGCTCTAGCACAGCATTATGATTTGAAAATCTTTCCTTTCCGTTCTCCATGATACATGAATTGGTCCTTACCCTTCAATATCCAGATCTAATATAATTTTCTTTTTTTTTTTTCTGATACTGGGAATCGAACTCACAACCTCACGCTTGCCAGGCAGGCACTGTGCTGCTGAGCTAAATCCCCAGCCCTTCGATATAATTTTCTATGTGTTGTCCTATTCCTATTTGAGAGTTCACCCATCCTACTTGTATGAGCAAAACCAAGGATATTTGGGAACTGGTCATCAGGAACCCTTCATTCTCAGTCTCAGAAGAGATAGAAAACAGATTGTTGGGCTTATAGAGGCGTTTTAGGGTGAATGATAGGACAGTAAGAAAAGTTTGTTGAATGTTCTTGATTCCTCATTGCACAGTTCTTTGGAGGTCAAAAAATCCTAGAGCAACCCAGTTAGATTAATACACATTTAATTGCTTTTATACATATAGGGCAATTTATGTACTCCATTTCTTCTTGAATGAGCCTGGATAGTGTTTGCTTCTTTAGGAATTTGTTAATTTCATATAAATTTTTCCTAATATATTCTTATTATTTTTTCAAAGCTAATGGCAATAGAAATCAAATCTAAGGATAGACTTATGGACTGTCCAATGATGCTTCCTTTTGCATTTGTAATATCAACCATCAATATCTCTCTCACCCTTCTCCCTCCTTCCTCCTCCTCTGTCTTTCCCATCTGCTCTGCCCAGCTACAGTTTTATCAATTTTATTGCTATTTTCAAAGAACCAGCTTTAGTTGTGTTGATTTTTAAAATAATTTTTCTATTTAGTCTTCCATTGGTTTCTGTTCTTTTTTCCATTATTTCCTTCCTTCTATTTATTTTAGGTTAAATTGACTCATGTTTCTAGTTTTGAGATCATTGATTTGAAATATTTCTTCTTTTCCAAAATAAGCATTTAGTGTTAGAAATTTCTTTAAGCACTGCTTTGGCTTCATCTTCCAAAGTATTTTCTAATTTTTATCATGATTTCTTTTTGGACTCATAGATGATTTAGAATACATTAAATTCCAAATGGTTGCGGGCTTTTCAGGTAATTTGTGTTATTGACTTGATTAATTTCTGCTCGCAAACTAGTCCTGGGTTTGAAGTTGTGACTTTGGTCTTCCTCTCTAAGTTTTGGTAGTGAGTCCTTTTAGTATCTTAGCCCTGAAATGTGCCCTCCTGCTTCATTCCCTATCTTCTATCCTCCAGCAGTTTTCATGATACTCATCTAGATGTGTCTGATACCCTATCCTCTACCTGTTCTGATAGAGGGAGTACCAACAATGGTAAATTTGAAAGTAAATCAAATAGAGATCAACTAAAAGATTACCAAAGTGCACTGAGGGTTTGAAAGTGATTAAATAATGCATGGAGTACAGTGACTGCCTCTAGAAATTCTCTGTAACTCAGGAATGGGGCACAGAAAATGTATAATGGGATTTTACACCAACTGCAGAATTAAGAGTCGGTAGAACCACAATACAAAGAGCTCTTAATTGTCAGTGAGAATGTCCTTCGGCATAACCCCCCATTTCTGAACTTGCCATTTTTTTCCATTTGCTTCTCAGTGCAGGTAGCAAAAGGTGTATGTGAAATAGCTATTCTCTTTGATACCAGAGTCACAACATAAATTCCATTCTTTATCAATGACCACGGCTTTCCACAGTGGCCTTATTGTAGCCAGTGAGGTTTATCCAAGGCACGATTATTGTTAATTGAAACTTTATCAATGACTACAAGCACATCTGTCATTGGCATGTCCTCTAGCATCCAGATAACATTAATTTACTAATTGAAATTATAATCATTGCAGCTTAAATTATTTTCCAACATTTACAGCTTAAATTCATGTTAATAATGATTTAGATATGAGAATTAAAATAAGAAAAAAACATTCTAAAAGCCCTTATTATTTTTGAGATACATCCTGCCATATTTTTAGGTGAAATGATAGATGTATAAAAATCTAAATGCAATTACTTTATTGGTAGAGAATTTTTCAATTATTCTCAAATGAAGCACACATGATAGTATTTGTTAATTTATCATACATGTGGAAAAAGAGCTCAAACAAATAGGCTTTCATGACTATATGCTCCACATATAGTCTTTAGACAAGTCATGTAACAATGCACAAACAGCTAAATTCACAAATCTTCTCATAATTGTAGTAAAGCTGTGATTGATCTTCATGTAAGGAATATCCTATAAAATACATCCTCTCGGGGCTGGGGATTTAGCTCAGCGGCAAAGCGCCTGCCTGGCAAGCACAAGGTAGTGAGTTCAATTCCCGGTACCGGAGAAAAACAAAAAACAAAAAACAAAAAAACAACAACAACAAAAAAAAAATACATCCTCTCTATGGCAGTTAGAGTCATTCTATAATCATGGGAGTTGTTTAAACAGGAATTTAAAACTCAAATCTGATTGAAGGCCAAACTGGGGCTTACACTAGGTTGACTCTTCTGTGCTTCCCACCTCTCATGAGGTCCTTCCTCATTTGTAAAATTAATATCTACTTTTATAACATTTTGAAAACAATATAACATTTGCATTTATTAATATAAATATAGCATTAATTGTATGCAAATGGTTTAAACTAGCTCAGTTCATGTCTTTAAAATTTGATGAAAAGTACTATAAAGGCACAAGGTATTTCTATGAGCACTTTTGTGGTAAAAGATTTTTAAAATCAGTAAATGAACTTGTGATGCTAAAGAAAGTGACAATAACACAATTTGCTTTTGTGGGTTATAGCTGTGAAGCTATCTGGTATCATTAGTTGAAAGAAAATTGATTCACTGCATTAAGAGTTTATGCACATCTGATTAAAAATATTTCACAGAAACGATCACAAAATACATGCCTGCGATAGACTCAGATTCCATTTTATAATCAACATGACTTAGAAATCTCAGCTAAGCCAGAAAAATAAAAAGGCAAAGCAGAAAAGAAGAGGAAAACAAACAGAAGGCTAGAGGTTGGAGTTGTACCTATTAGGAGGGATAAAAGCCCTATAATCAAAACTTCTGGTTGTTTATTATCAAACTGGCAGAGAGATGAAATTTTTTTTAAAAAAAGAAAAACTCGCCACTTCCCTTGCTGGCCATCTGTCCACAGACTGTGTACTGCGGCTGCTCCACGGAAGGAGAAATAGGTCTGGGATTAGTCCCAGGAATATTGGGTTTGTCTCAAGGGGCATTATCTCTAACGTGCCTTAGTTAGCCCTTCTTCAATCTGAGTAAGACATGATAAAGATTCGATGTACTGGATGATAAAACAGCATAAACTGACCATGAGCTTTGACGGCATGTTTAGCTGGGTTTTGTTTTGTTTCCTTTGGTTTGGTTTGGTTTGGTTTGGTTTGGTTTGGTTTGGTTTGGTTGTTTTGTTTTATGTTTTGTTCCCTCTTGCAATTCAACAGCTAGAATTCCACTTCTTTCTTCACAGGAACTAGAAAACACTAAACACTACAGTGTCTCATCTTTTGAAATGCAGCCTGAGCTGAGTGTGGTGGTGCATGCCTGCAATCCCAGCACTGGAGGGGCTGAGGTAAGGGGATCACTGCAAGTTTGAGGCCAGCCTAGGTTACTCGCCGCATTCAAGGCCAGCATGAACTATATATAGCACGACTCTGTTTCAAGAAAAAAAAGCTAGAAGTTTGTTTTGTCTGACAGTAACTGACAATGATACTGTTGTTCATTTATGTATAACTAGAAATACTGCAGTGCATCTTGCATCCCTTTCCCCTGGAGTATAACCCTGGCATGGAAATAGATCAACCTGTCACCATGGATACTGAAAAACCTAACCAAAGGACCTGAAATGTAGATTTAGATGGTGGGTAAAATTTTATTAGTATCCTGTGACTGATGCCAGCGCTGCAGGCGTCTCATTAGGAAAAGCAGCTACAGGGACGGGGAAGGTACCCCACGGATCTCAAGCTTCTTGGGTCCTACTCTCATACTGCACTGGCGCCTGCTACACAGGCTCTCTGAGGTTCTGAATCTCCTAGCTCTCTTGTCCATCCATACCAGAATCCATGACACCATTGTTGGCCCTGGCTGTTTGATTTAGCGTAATCTCTCTGATCTCTGGGAATTGACTGATTTCTCTTTTTACACAAACTAAGTATGAAAAAAATCTCTTTTGAGTTTTGCTTTGGTTTAAGAAAAATGTTTACACCAACTAGGCACAATGGTACATAATTGTAATCCCAGCTAATTGGGAAACTGAGGCAGGGGATCTCAAATTAAAGGTTGGCCTGGGCAGCACAGCAAGACCTCATCCCAAAGCCAGAAACAAAAGTGCTTACACTAGAATAGTAAGAGCAAAGAATGGATTTTAAAACAAAATTTAACTGAAATTTTTATTCTATTTTCCATTGACCAGGGACCTTGAGTAAATTATCAACCATTATTCATTCAACGTTTGCAGAGGTCTTACTGGACCAAACACTCTTAGGCAACAGGTATGCAGAGAAAAATGATAAGCATGTCTGGTTCTTAAGGTGCTCACAATGAAAAAGAGAAGGTGCATACACACACCAGTGTTTGCAGTGCTTGGTGACACTGATCAGGACTGAGGAAATGAGGGGGCACATAGAGGATTATCTATGAGATATGAGATTATAAGATTATCCAGAGAGGAAGGGTCACAGTGGGCTTCTAGGAGGAAGCAAGTTAGAGACAAGGTCTGAAGGATGAGTAGGAGAGGGCTAATTCAAGTGGGGAGAAGATAAAGAAGAAGAGGAAGAGGAAGATGCAGAAGCAGGAGAGGAGGAGCAGGGAAGAAAGGGTGAGAGGATAGTGAACTTGGAAAGAAAAAAATGTTATCTTAGCATTCTACTTGACCTGACATGAAAAACTGTCATATAATAATATAAATGACATTAATTAGCTTTTATAGTCCAAGTGTACATAAAAATACTTCTGTTGGTGTAAGTATAGAATTTTCAATAACACTTAAATGTTAACAATATTTAGCCAAATAAAATAAAAGTATTATGTCAATCTTATGACCTAGTAATTTTGCTGCTAGGTATTTACCCAAGACAAGTGAAAACAAATATTCACAGAGAGCCTGCAATAAATGTGTTCTTAGAAGTTTCACTCATAGTAGCCCAAACTCAAAACAATTCAAATGTCTATTAACAGGGAAATAAATGGTGTATATATATTCAATGCAACACTTCTCAGTGATGAAAAAGGAATAAATTATTAATATATAAAATAACACAGATAAATCTCAGGATATTCTACTGAGAAAGAAGCCAGAAATGCACAAAAGGAACACTGTGATTACATTTGTGTGAAGTGTTAGAAGAAGAAAATCTATTCCATGAAGGAAGATGTCAGTTAAGCTGTTTTCTCTGATAGGGACAGGGAGCTAAGTAGGAAGGAGCACCAGGGAAATTCTTAGGGTGATGAAAATGATAGACATGAAGGTTACACAGGTGTGTGGATTGGTTAAAATTCATTAAATTGTACAGTCAAGAATAGCGGCTGTCACTATATGTTTCTGATCTAAAATAATGAAAATAAATATTAAACTCAATTATTGGTTTGATTTCTTACAGTGGTATAAATTAGCCATTCTAAGTCCATCTACTGTAGGCTTGAGGAAAATAATGAGAGACGGGTTTCTTGTTTTTGGAGAATTCAGTAAGAATACAAAAGGAAGAGGCCAGAGCCATGTAATCCAATATGGCAGTCATTAACCACACACGGCTACTGGATCCTGGAAATGTGACTACAACAAATTGAGGACATGTTATTACGTGTCAAATACTAGATAACTAAGACTTAGTACAAAAAATAAGCTATTCCAGTAATAACTTTACATTGATTCTATGTGAAAATTATAAAATTTTGGGTATATTGGGTTAAATATATCATAGCAATGGATTCCAACTGTTTCTTATTAGTTTTTTCAACATGGCAACTAGAGAATTTATAACTACATACGTTGTTCACAGCTGTGTCCACTGGACAGTGCTGGACTATGCCTAGCTCTGTAGCATTGGTTTGGAATTGGAGATATCATATTTCAATATGTGAACTCATAGATCTATCTATGTCTATCATTTTTCTCTGAAAGGTCCTAGAAACAACAAGATACCAGTGACAACAGGCTTACCATCACCCAAATCTTGACATCTTACTGAAAAGAAACAGACATGCTACAGGGAAATGGCTGATTTCATAGACAAGGCACAGTATAGAATAAGCCTAGAGCATCTCATTTCACAAGGTGGTAAGGAATTTGCTCAAAAAAATTATAGGGTACAGCAAAATGAACAAAGGAATCATCTTTAAGGTTCTCTCACTGGCCAAATCTAAAATAACTGGAGCACCAAATTAAATGGTGGAAGTAATGGACTGACTGTATTAAACAAAATAAGAATCCATAAGTCAATGATCAAATAAATAAGTAAATCCAAAAGGAAAGTGCTTTCTGACTATAGAATGCCAACTAATTATATGTGGAAAAAAATGATGGAGATAGGAAATTACTGGACACTAAAACTAGTGGATAAAAACTAAATGAGAAACAGGATTATTTAACTAGTCTTAAAGTACCTCTTCATGTGTTAGTTACAAGGGGAAATTTTCTTTGATGTAGAAGTATAATTTTAAAAGTATACTAATAATACAATTATCCCAAATAAACCTAAAACTAATTATGCTATGTTTCTGCTTTTGTGTCTTCAAATATCACTGAAAGGATTCAACACCATTCCATTCCCCAATGATGAGGGAAAATTAGCTTAACCAAAATTTAGTTCAAAAATCACCATGACAGTCATGTGAACTATCCTTACTAACTCTTTATAAGACATGACAGAGTTTTGATATCCCAACAAAACTGGCACCAACAGACATAATTAAAAATATTATTTACAAAACAAATCAGCAAACTTGATCTTTATTTAAAGATAAATATAGGAAATTATATATTCAGAGTATAACACTTTTCATAGTTATATGTGCTATTGCAGAACTCTGCAATGGTATAATTTTAAGTAGTGCCAAAAAATATTTTGTAAACCTTACAGTGATATTTCTTAAAACACTCCACATAATTTTAAAAACAAATACATCATAAGGGGAAAAATTAACTGAAATAGGACAAATATAGGAAGTTATCTATAAAATTAGATATTCTATTCTTAAGTTCACTCAAATTACAGGAAGTAGAATTTAGTGCCCAGGTAAATAACATCTATATTAAAGAAAGAATAATGTCATTACTTGCATACACATTTTAAGGCAGAACAAGTGAAATCAAGTAACAATTACTGGCCTCTTGCTCCTTCACCACTCTGCCTCAGGGAAGGGGAACAAATTACTTAATTGGTAAATTTGAGAGTACTAAATAGATTTGCAGACCTCAACCCTGCCAACCTCTACTTGCTTGAACAATGGCTATAGTAAAGCACATGATCACATCATCTCTTGCATACCACAAGTTCTTCAAAAGGAGGCACCCACAGCAGGGAAGATGTGCCATATGGCAGGACGGATGGATAAGTCTGCCTATTTCTGAGATGAAGTACATATTAGGAAGCTCACAGTTGCTGCGCTCCTAAGCCACATTATCCCTCCAGTCTTAATCAGTAGTAAGTATCATGCTCTGATCTCCATCTGTCCTACTCCTTGTGTATCTCTTAAGTAGCTTAGAACTCAAGACCACTTTTTAGCTGTGCTGACCTTCAAAACTTATTTAAGTAGAGACATCATTTCCATTCATATTTGTCAAATCTATGAGCATCTTCTGGTTCCTCTCCTGGATGTTATCATTTTATTGATGGGGAAAGACTGTAAAGTGCCTGGCATGGGACTTGGCATTCAATTAAAGTTTATCTTCTCTTCTTATTACCTTCCTTTTAATTTAGTGATCATCTCATTATCTTCATTCCATTATTTCCTTCCAGTATGTTATCTTCTTCTCTCTTCACTGTCTTCAGTAATTTCTTATTAAATCCTTCTGCCTCTAGATATTGGCCTAAATCAACACTTCTTCAAGTGTAGCACTAGAGCCAGCAGCATCTTCTGGAAACATGTTAGAAACAGAAGTTCCAGGCCCCACCCCAGATCCACTGAATAAGAAATTCTGGGGGTGGGGCCGAGCAATTTGTGGTTAGACACACCCTCCAGGTGATTCTGATGCATATTCAAGTTTGGGAGCCAGAGATTTAAATCATGAGCAGCTTGGCTTGTTACTGCTCAGCTACTTCTGTCCTAGCCTCTTTTGTAATTACCAACCATTTGGTTAGGTCTCCGATGATCAATTGCTTAACACCAAAATGAATAATTATTCAGTCCTTAACGGATGTGAAATTAGGATCTACGGGTCTTTGTACAGATTTTCATCACTTCTTAATTATGATATCTGATTTACTGAAAATCTAGGCAACTTGGTTTGTTTAATTTATTTTACCAGGTGTTCATTTTCACAGCCATTGTATAACACAAACCACTTATGAATCTGCAAATCTTTGTTTTGTGTTTTGTTTTTTAAGGGGTAAACAATATCTTCTACCACAGGACACTACAGGTAGCACCGAAAAAAAATGGGTTTTCACAGCACTGATTTCCTAACAACTTGAAAAGCATCAAGCAATTCAATTATTCTAAAATTGTCATCCAATTTGTTTCTCTGTGGGAGAGCTAGTATTTTTATGTCAGGAAGACCATGAAATTAGCTGCTTTCTGGAGTATGTGAATTTTTCCCTATTTTTGCTGACTCTCAGGAAGAGATGGGGATGGGGAAAGCTGTGTGTTGGGGGGGTTGGTCTGAAGAACTGGGGAAGAGATGAAATTGGACCTGAGATAACAAAGATGGACCCCCAAATATGGCTAATTATTTAGCTTTCTCATTAGTTTTTCCCCCATGTTTTCAATATACTTTTAATTATACTTCAGGAAATGTTAGCTGGCACCTTGATACTTCAAATAATTGAATAGTTCAGATATTTATTAACTTCCCTACCAGAGTACCCCAAATGTTTATGCAAATTAATTTTCAACAACAAAATTTGTAAGCCTTCGTGGTTGTACTATAAACTAATATTAACGTGTAACATTATGTAGAAATGTCATTCTTCTTTGTGTCATTCTGAGGCACTGTGGGGGGAAGCAAGTCACTCATTTAAATTGTAATGAAAAGCATTTAGTTTTTATTAGTGTGTAGGAGGCCTTGTTCTCAAGGGAGTATTTCACAGTTATTATTCATTCAATCTCAGTTTCCCCGGGAGGGAGGGAAAAGGAGCCTCGTGAGCCAAAGTCAATGAGTTGAGTCATTGTTCAGCTTCATTCCAAAGGATTCCTCAGTTTCAACTAAACCTCTCAGGCTCAATTTAAGGTTCTCTGGCAAAGGCTTTTGTGATTTATTCCTCCTGACAACAGCTCAGACATCACTGATGAGCGCTCTGATCACCATCCACCTGCAGGACTCTTGGAGCCATCAAAGGAGCAAGGAGCCTCCCGGAGGAGTGAAGGCCTTCCAGGATCGAGCCGACATTCCCAGAGCCACACCCTCAGGTTGCTCCTGAGATCCACATGATATCCACCAGGATGGCCTTGTACCTTATTACGTCAATATCCCAAGGCTTTAAATGTGGTGATGGTGATGTCAGAATTTCTCTTCTTGGTTTTTATCTTCGTTGATTCTAACTTCTGTGCTTTCTTATAAAAATAGCACTTTGGCCTCATTTGATTTTTTTAGTCTTTTTCCTAATCTCTACTGCCAAGTGTGGATTTCAGGATAAGTTATTTCAACAGCTTTTTAAAATATTCACTCTACCCTTTAACTTTTCTTTAGTCTTCTGTGTTAATTCCAGCCCCTATCATCTCAACGTTTTCCCCCATCTTTATACGTAACTACTAAATTTTGGGAAAAGTTGACCATTATTTCCAATGCTCTTCCTCAGCAGTCATTTCAGATGCTCCATAGGTTGACATACAGCTTCACAAAGGATGGGCATTTGCTAACCCTCCTGATTAACCCTCCTGTGTGCCCCAGCACGGTCCCAACTCCATCGTTCCTTGACAGTCCTACCACTTTCTGTCATTACACCCTTCTCTGTAACCCCACAAGTTTTCTTTGCATATTGCCCTTCTCCTTCCTCTTTAGTGTTCAGAGGGATCAGTATCCCTTTTATATTCAACTTAGTCATCCTGCCAACCTTTTCCCCGTACTTTCATTTCCATCTCTTGAATGTTTCGGTAAGGCCTAATACCTCCTATAATAAATAACAGAAAAGCAAGCAATGAGAATTCAATTTCCTTTGCAACCCCTTCAAATTATTAGCTTCTCTTTCCTTTCTAGGCTAACCATGCTCACTCCTGGACCTCTTGAAAACTGGCCAATGTCCCCATTATGTCACAGAAATTGCTTTCTTAGAGGCCACCAATGACTTCTACCTACCATATCCACTGACCTGGCTATTCATTATTAGATTTATCTCGTATCTCTGTCTGCTTTCAAACTCATCTTGCACTCACTACCTGCTTGGCCTTTGGGAGACACACTCCTGCTCTGCCTTCGCTGCCTCCTTCAGGGAGTTTTCTCTACCACCTTACCAGAAAAAGACTTTGACTAGGTGCTTTCACCAAACATCTTCTCTCTAGTCTCTTCCTTGACTTCATCGGCTGCCGCAACTGAAACTATTACTTGGTGTGGATATTTCCAAAGTTTAAATTCTAAATGTCTATTGGATATTTTTATCTTGGATGTTCTAAAGAAAGGACTGGCAAACCTCTCTATAAGGAACAGACAGATAGGGGGTAATTTAGGCCCTGCAGGCCATATGGTCTCTGTCACAACTGCTCAACCCTATTGTAGCAGTGTGAAAGCATCCAAACACATGAGTATAGCTGCATTTAAAAAATATTGTTGATCATTTGAATTTCCTATAATTTTCATGTATTACAATGTATTCTTCTCTGGACTCAAAAAATTATTTATAAAAATCATTCTTAGCTCTGTGGAAAAACTGTTGACAGGCGGGATTTGGCCCTCGGGCCATTTACCAGTTGCTGTTCTACAGGTGTGCCCCTCCATTATTTATTTCTCCCTCTCCACTGGGATTCTGCTTCCTGGTTAGCATATTTATTTTAAAATTAAGAATTGTGTTTTGTGTGATTTCTTACAGGTAAAATTTTGTCTAGCATGAGTTTGAGGGAAACAAATATAGATACTGCATTCTTGGGGCTGGGGATTTAGCTCAGCAGCACAGCGCCTGCCTGGCAAGTGCAAGGTCGTGAGTTTGATTCCCGGTACCAGGAAAAAAAAAAAAAAAAAAAAAAAAAAAAAAAAGATACTGCATTGTCATTTTCAGATAAGGAAATGGAGGCCCAACTTAAGGTTTGTCAAGGAGTTAAGTTATGCTGAAGCCAGCCCTAGAGCTCAATTTTCTAGAATTTTCAGACCAAAATTCTAGATGGATTGGCACAAAGAAGTCAAGTGCCTATAGTGTGTGGTTTATTTTCTTTCAACATAGAAAGAGAGAAAGAGAAAACATCATGGTTCTTTTTAGATCTATGATTCATCTATTATATAGCATCCTATCTGCTACAAGCATACTTTCTTACCAGTCTGATGCCTGGTTGTGACTCTGCTTCTTAGGTTGGAAGCTAAGGACCAGTGGATGAGAGGAAACAAAGTTTACTGAAGCACTGGCAAGTTCCACAGATTCAACTTAAGGGAGAAGTAAAAATCTTTTTGTGGGTGCGGGAGAACACTAACGATTGAACCCAGGCTTTAGTACTGAGCTACCTCCCCAGATCATGTTTCATTTTAACTGGGTATTGCTAAATTGCTAAATTGCCCAGGCTGCCTCAGTCTCCCAGAATGCTGAGATTACAAATGTGCAACATAACACCCAGGCTGAAGTACAAATTTTCATATGCATAATGAAAATCGAGATGACAACTATCCCAAGAATGGTGGCACAGGAAGAGAGCTAAAGTACTTTATTGCATTAAAAAGCAAAATACATTTGCTATTGGTTCTAGTATATCAAAAGAGAATGGGTTTTTTCCCTGTAGCTAATGCTTATTTTATCTTCTCAAATGTATTCCTTAGAGTTTCTTAGAACTCATTCAGAATTCAAAATTGCCTTAAGAATATTATAATATTCAATTAGTTTTTATGAGGATATTGAGGTCACAGGTTCTTTCCAACTTCTTAAATTTTAGTCTGTGAGAAATTGTATTCATCTTTACTTTGTTCAGAGACTACATATGTGTTTTAGTCATGGACCAATTTGGTGTGGTGAATTTTAATGTCCATAATATTATGTTAATAGCTATTTTAATGAAAGAATTTTACAAAAAATCCTAAATTATAAATGCTATTCTGCTTTGTGGGGAAAAAAATTCAACAAACATACAAAAGAAATGTTCAGCATTTGTAAGAAGGGCCATTAGGTAGGACACCAATTGACCAAATGTGAGTATAAAATCGTGAACAAGTATTATGATTTTACCCTCATGCCAATTTATACTTTTTAAATGCAATGATGTTGACCTTACTTATGCTTCTTTTGTTACCGTATTAACAAGAAATCTTTGAAGAGTTTTGTTTCTTGAGGGCGTACTTCATCATAAGCAGAACTTGGTCCTAATTAAAATGGGATTATCCTGGGCTACTATATCCAAGAAATGAGCTTCTGAGATGGGTATTCTGTTACATATTTTTCTTTAATAGACACAATGAAAGGCAGAACAAATTACCCCTTTCAAATAACAGCTCTTTGGAAAATATGTGTAGCTTTGGTAAATAGATTTCTATGTTTAAATGAAAGATTAAATTAGTGCTATGCATTCCTGAATGTTTAGAGAAATTCACTGTCAGAACCAAACTAAAATAGTTTAGTATGTCTAGAGGTCTGTTTTCTAAAGAAAATTACCTTTTGCTTCTACAGTTTGACCATTTAGTACAGTGAGGTAAAATATTTTAAAACAAGGAGATAGCTTGTAAACTAGTTCTGTAGGGTGCTGTAAGAAAAAGATCCCAAAACTTCAGTGGCTCAAGGAATAATGAAGATAAATACCACATCTCACTCACATGTGGAAAGTAAAATGTTGATCTCATGTAAGTGAGACAAAAACAGGGCTTACTAGAGGCTGAGAAAAATGTCAAGGAGGAGGAAGGAACTGGAGAGAGATTGGTTAAGACATGGCTAGGAAGAAAAAGTTCTAGTGTTCTATGCCATAATAGCTTGACTATATTAATAGCAATTTTTGTACATTACAAAATAACTAGAAGGATTCTAAATGTTCATTCTCACCATAAAAAACATTATAAATACTTGAGGTGATAGTTAATTACCAAGATTTGATCTTTACACATTGTACACGTGTGTCAAAATACCACACTGTATTCCATATACTGGATATATAGGATAATTCTGTGTCAAATTAAAATAAGACATTTTCTAAAAAAAAGTTTTTCTCTTCGGTAATAGTATGATGTCTCTCAGGTAAGTGGTATAATGGCAGCTGTGCCATCTACAGTTGGTTTCTAGGGCTGCTCTGGTGGTCACCATTCCAGGATGGATGAGGAAAATGGAGAAAGTCTCTGGCTAGATGAGGAAGAGGCTCCACAAATCATTCATACTCATACTTGTGACCTGGAAAATATCAGGTCACATGGCCACACTGAGTATTACGGTCTAAATATGATCCCCAAAGCAGCAGTGTTCAGATATGGAGCCTGGAGAGGTGACTGGAGCATGAGGACACTACCGTTATCAATGGATTAAAGGATTGATGAGTAATGGCTGAATGGGTTATTAAGAAGTGGGGACAAGACAGAGAATGTAGGTCACTAGCCGATGCCTTCGAAGGGTAAATCTTGTCCTTTGCTGTTATGGCTTAGATCTAAAATACCCACCTAAAGGCTCATGTTCAGAGACAGTGCCTGCTTAGAAAGGGCAGGTCAGTGTGGCTGTGACTTGGAATGGTGTAGTTTCATCCCCAGGTCCTCCCTTCTTTCTCTGCTTCCTAACCATCATTCAGTGAACAGCTTTCCTCTGCCATGACTTTCTGTCTTGCAGCCAGCCAACCATGGACTGTACCCACTGAAATGGTGAGTTAAAATAAACCAGTCCTCTTTTAAGCTGTGGTGTTCAATATTTTGTCCGAGCAACAGAAAAATGACTAAAACTCTGACCTGTCTCCCTCTCTCTCTGCTGACTGGCTGCTATGAAATGAATAGCTCTGCTCTACCACACCCTCTCCACCATGATCTGCTTCACCTCAGGCCTAGAAACAATGGAACCAGCCAACCACTGACTGAAATTTCTGAAACTGTGAGAAGAAATAATTTTTTTCCTTTAAACTGATATTACCAGGTATTCTGTGATAGTGATGGAACTCTAGCACAGCAAACCACAAGGGAGACTGGAGAAACCAGTCTCTCCACGAGCTCAGAAAGAAGGAACAGAAATAATGGGAAACTTCACTCTCCATATGCTCTGATTTGAAAAACTATAAATAACCAACAGTGTGCAATGCAAGGTCTCTAGTCTGCCATACAAACACAATAAAATGTGAGAAATAAACAAGTTAATCTGTTTCTATTATGAAAATATTCAACAAGGTAGAAACCAAGGCAGGCCTCTCTGATTCTGTCACCACATCAAAAAGATTTGTGTTACCAAACACCCAGAGGAAAGAGCCAAGTGAAAATAAATCATGTTCTAAAAGCTGGGAAATCATTTTCTCATAGAAAAAATGTTCTGTAAATGGCCAGGTTCCAAAATTATTTCAGAAGTGCTTGTTTACCTTATGCGATACATTTGTAATGAAGAAGTAGTTGGAAGACAATGCCTGGACTATAGTACCCAAAATGGGAAAACTGTTGATTACTAAAAAAATGTTAATATAGTTTTAATAAGGAAATGAAGTTCAGTTAGAGAAGGATGTGTTAGGGTGTGAGGAGGAAATGAATACTTTAGAGTCAAAGTGAACTTTCTGGAACATCGGGACAGCGTTCTTTAATTTAAACACACACCACAAAATGTGACTTTGCTTCTTCCTCTTTCAAAGTTTATCAAAAGCCAAATGTGAAAGCTTACTAGTTATGCACTGCTGGTAGATACGGGAAACAAATTAGGAGGAAGAATATAATGACTATAAGTGTAAGAGTGGGGATTTTATAAAGCAACTAGGAAAGAGAAGAGAAAGGAAAAGCATCACATACACATCTCTGTGTGTACATGTACAGGTAAAGCAGGAGGGAAGCAGAAGGAAAGATGATGTTGGGGGAGGGGACAAAGACTGACATACGCATGATCTCTTTGAGGGAGGATGAGAGGATGAGAATAACTTTGAACTGAGCTTTTCCTGGTCTGACCACCGAAATCTGATTACAGCCTGCAATGACTACTGTGCAAGTTTCTCCTTCTAGAGGAATTCAGGGGGAAATTAACCCCTGTTTGATTTTTCTACTGGCATATAGAAAGTTTGTGGTCTAACATTAAGAAAAGGCAAATATCTCAAAATGCAAACTAGATAAATCTTTATGGCAGAAGATTCTTAAATTAGACTAGGGAAAACAAAAAGTACCTCAGGATAGGTCTCTAATGAATACGCCCCGCCTCTTTGGATCTTTTAAGCATACATTTAATTTTCTTCTTTCTAGCTGTTCTGTTTCAGTTCAACTTGATCGTTTCCCTGCTGCTTACAACATGACTTCTAAGGCTGCTTGATCTTAAGTAAAAAGGCAATTTTGAGCAGCTTGATCTGGGGGTGAGTTGCATCTTAAATACCATAGAGGGCTGTTCTCGGCAAGCCGGAATGAATGCTCACAGCTCAGTGACTGTGGAGCTCACCAAGGGATGCTGGTTTCTCTCGCTTGACAACTGCACGTCCTGTATTCAGAGATATGACATTTGGGCTCCTCCAAAATGGCCTCAAAATGCTTAAAAGCCTTCCTTGGTCTAACAGTGGCATAGGCAGCCATAAAGTTCAGCATAAGTATAGAGAAACCAGCCTTTATGGCCCAGACCTGGAACAAAGATTTCTTTAACTGCTGAATGTACAAGCACCCCCTGCAACCTGAAAATAAACAAATTCCCACATTGGCTGCAGACTATTTATTCAAATTGGGGGAGGCGGTGGTCAGAGACACTAAGACAATGCCAAATATGTTGGTACAATATTTCCCACCAATTTCTGTTATTCCAGCTTATTGCAAACTTGATTATTTTGCAAAGAGGTAAAAGTCAGTGAGACAAAAGGTGGAAATGGCAGGAAGTTTAATGAAACAAAAAAGTGGTAAAGAAGGTTTTTAACACTAATTGTTTGTATTCTGTCTCAAGTCTTAACTCTGACCCCAATTAGCTGCATTATCTTGAGCAGGTCACTAGACATCTGCAGATTTGATTCCTCGAGTGGAAAATGAAGGGATCAGATGATGTGAGCGCTATGACTCCTTCCAGCTCAGCAGGCTCTGGTTATCATGTGTTTGGCTTAGGTTTTGCCATGACAAGGAACTGAGCCTCTGATACACATGGATGGAGCACCCTATTTCAGGCCTGTGCAACACTGCATGGAACAGGCATCTCATAACCGTTCAGATTCCTCAGTTAGAGTGGGCTTGGGTTACAGTAAATATCTTGATAATCTGTTCCCAGCTCTAAAGACTTTTTGGAAAGGTTCCATATGACTTTGAAGAAAATTTTCCTACCCAATCTGGGCCGCCAAACCAACCAGACAAAGTGCCAAATGCATTCAGTCAACACCGAAACACCCTCTGAATATTACCGTCTTGCTCAGCCCTACACTGCCACCAAGAACTCTCACTTGGAACAATAATGCCAAGTCTAGACTCAGATTCTGAATAAAACACTCCATTTTTTTTTTAAACAACACATCAGAGGCCTACCTCATTAGTATTTTCATTTGCAGTAATGTCTGAGTTAGGATATTCTTCAGCAGAATGAACAAAAAACCAAACACATATAGGAATAAAATGTCTCTGGCTAATGTTCACCACCTGGGGACTAACAGCCACCTCTGGCACTGGTCCTCATCTCCAAATTATCACCGGGCATCAAGGCCCTTCTTTCCATGCTCCTAGAGGGAAGGCTGGGTTTCTGGTCTCATACCCTACTCAACATCCTACCGCAAACCACCATCTAAAGGAAAGCCCCTCGCTAAACATCAGGCCTCCAACCTGAAGCCTTCAGTTCCAGTAGGTGTGCTAAGGCTAACAGTTATTGCAATGTGGGTCTACTCCACGTCAAACACACCAAGCAAACAGACTACATGATCAAAACAGATCATGTTTAGAGATTTAAATTGTAATCATTCATGCTAATCATACACTGTATAACATTATCCTAAGAGCTTTCATAGGAAAATATTTATGTGCAAAGTAACTCTCCTAAATCACCACTTCTTCCCTTTTCTACCTGCAGAATACTACAAATGTGGTAACTAAAATCATCTGCTTTGACCAGTTCTGTCATTGGGTCTCCACTGGTTTTCATACGCACAGCATTGAGCTTGGTTGTTGACTGCCAAGATGTGGTATTATATTATTGTTAAGGTTTGTGTCTGGATGTTCCCCCACACCTCATACAGTCATGGGGGGGGTGCTTTTTGCAGTAGCTGAATCTAGAGTTTGTGATTGATTCTTGGCTAGGATTATGGGTGTGAATGCTACACCTGACCTCAGGTGGGTAGCCTGCATACAATATAAGGGGAAGAAAGAGACAGTCTTCTCCCCTGTTTGCTCTTGTGGCTTTTGCTATCTTCCCAGCCATAAACTGTTGTTCCTCTGCCATACCACCCTGCCTTGGAGCCAAATGATTTTGGACTGAAACCCCTATGAAGTGTGAGCTAAATACTTTTCCTCCCTTAATTTGGGGCATCGGGCATTTTGTCTCAGCAACAAGAGAAAAGCAACTAAGACAATTATCTTGCTTTTTAAAGTTATAATATTTTTCTAAAAACTTCTGTTTATCTTTTTATTTGTTTCTGCATAACATGTCCAGGCAGGATGAGGCCTCTTACCTAGAAGGACTTCCATAGTAAAACCATCACTGTTCTTATATTACAAAAGAGGGGAAGGAGAAGGACTTACTCTTTTGATTAATTACTGACACTTGGATTCTCATAAATGATACTTTTGTTTTAACCACCATTTCCTTAGGGATTATCAAGTGCTAAAATTAAAGCAACAACAAGACAAAATACATCTCTGCCCTAAGGAGAAAAAAGAGATTTCTTTTTCTCAGATTCTTCTCTGAAACACCCCCGGAACTGAATTGATTACCTACTTCCACCTAGAATCACTGGAGTAGTGTTCACCCACTTTTCTCAGTTTGACATGATGTCAAGACCCCAATTAGTGTGTGGGCTTCCCAGTTCTGAATGCCAAAGGCAATAAACAGGGGTCTGTTTCCTCCTAGGGTATCAATTGTTTTATTTGTTCACTTGTTATAGACTCTAGTAAGTAGTATACCTCATCAGATATTTAAAAAAACAATGCTCAGAAATTAGTACAGATGGGGGATTTAGCTCAGTGGCACAGCACTTGGCTAGCAAGCGCAAGGTCATGAGTTTGGTTCCTGGTACCGGAAATCACCCCCAACAAAAAAAAAAAAAAAGAAATTAGTACAGATGGAGTATCCCTTATGAGAAGGTCCAAAAGTCTCCCAAATCCAAAAATTTTTAAGCACCAATGTGATACCACAAAAGATGCATTCTGATGGTTACATTACACAAACTTTGTTTCCTGCACCAAAATTATTTTAAAATATTGCATAAAATTATCTTCATGCTACATACAAAAATGTACATGAAACATAACTGAATTTTATGTTTGGGTTTGGGTCGCTTCCCCAGATACTTTACTACGTATATGCAAATGTTTCCAAATCCAAAAAGTTCCAAAACCTGAAGCATTTCCATTCTCAAGTACAGTTATAGGATTCTCAAGTAATGCAGATATAATAAAGATATAGCATACTCACCTTGCATATAAATTAAATGTTAGGAGTGAAATCACAGAATGGATTATAAAATATTTAACAGAATTATATTCACTGCATATTATATTCCTAGTACAAATCTACCCTAAAGCTTTCCTAAATTGTTTTAGTTGTATTTTGAGGTATTTAGGTCATTTTTAGAAGCTAAAAGGAAACGGTTTTGCTGTGTCTCTTCTCTTCAGATGGCACTAACTATTCTAATTTGTTATTCAGTTTCAGAATGTCAGAGCTAGGTATGACATTTGAGGCTATTTTCTAAGTCCCTTTAAGTACACAATGCACCTCTAACTAGTAATCCTGT